GGGCACAGGTGGTGCATCAGCCAGTCATCTCAGTCAGTCGACCCGTGGCACCTGGGTCTGTCCCACGACCTCCTGCCAGCGCGCGTTCGACACTTTACGTAGCCTTAAAGTGCACTTAGCCTGGCCAAGCGCCGTGATGATGTCACCACCACTTAGTGGCGAATGGCGGTTGTTGTTGTTGTTATGTATGTACGTTTAACTTTTTTCGCACCGTATGTGTGGTGGGCACTCTGTAACACGCACACGCTAAACATTACCTACCAGAGCGGGGTCATTGATAACCCTGACCAAGACCCCGCCTGAGGGGTGGAGGCGGTGGAGTGTGTGTGTGTGTGATCCCTCAGAACCCCGCCCCTCGGTGGGGAATCGTATAAAAGGCGGGCTCCTGAGAGCAGAGGTCAGTTCGCCTCATGCCGAAGCCGAGGAGCCACCTGGAGACGAGACCCTGGACCCCAAGCCCCGACGTCCTTCTCAGGGCCGGGGCTCGGTGCGGTGCCAGAGGTCGAGAGGCTAGGACCCTGAGGTTCCCTCAGCCCGACGTCCTTCTGGATGGGCCAGGCGTCAGAGACCCACCGGTGCCAGCGGTGGGTCAGCCTCCCCTAGGTCCAGCTAGCCGGAGGGCTATAGTCAGGACAGTGGTTAGGGTACGATAGCCCGGAGGCTGTACCTCCACAGGTTGTGGGTAGAAGGGGCCATTACCCCTTCGTGGTACGGACCTAGTGAGTGTTGTTAAAGATATAAAATGAACGTGTTGCATCCTACAACGACTCCGTTTCCATACACGACTACTACATATGTAGCCAACCAGACTAATCTGTGGGTCTCTGTGGGTGCCTCTGCGTCTGGGTGTTTGTGGGTCTCTGTGTATGTATCTATGTACGTTGAACTTCTTTCGCACCATCCGTAGCCAATCGTGCTAATCGTAGGTGTGTGGTGTTAGGAACAACACAGTAAAACACAACAGTACTATAAATCAGTGGTTCTTAACCTGGGGTGTACGCACCTCCTGGGGGTGCGAGATGCCCTTTCTGGGGGTGCGAGACGTGGCCAGATTTTTTTTAAGGTCAATTAATCAAGATGTGGTGGTCACTGTACACACGCACACACTACACGGTACTTACCAGAACAGGGTCATTGGTATCCCGAATCAAGACCCCGCCTGAGGGGTGGAGGCTGTGAAGTGTGTGTGTGGGATAACCCAGAACCCTGGTCCTAGACAGAAAGTGGGATCGAACAAACACAGATTGTTTGGGCTTCCTGTGGCCAGCACCTCTCCGGAGGGTGTGGGGGAATCGTATGAAAGGCAGGCTGCTGCGGGCAGTGGGGAGTTGGTCTCAAGCCGAAGCCGGGGAGCCGCCTGAAGAAGAAGAGACCCTGGACCCCAAGCGCCGACGTCCTTCGGAGGGCCGGGGCTCAGTGCGGTGCCAGTCGTCCGTAGGCTAGGACCCTGAGGTTCCCTTAGCCCGACGTCCTTCTCAGGGCCCGGGTCTGGACGGGCCAGTGGTCAGAGACCCAGCGGAGCCAGCGGTGGGTCAGCCTCCCCTAGGTCCAGCCAGCCGGAGGGCTATAGGAGTAGTCGGGCCAACGGCTAGGGTACGATAGCCCGGAGGCTGTACCTCCTCAGGTTGTACCTCCTCAGGTTGTGGGACGAAGGGGCCATTACCCCTTCGTGTTAGGGACCTAGTGAATTGTGATAAGATAACAATAAAAGTATTTGCTTACCACTACGACTCCGTCTCCGACTACGACAAAAAACATAAATTAAGCACGGGTACATAAGAACAACTACTTTTGTCTTATCAAACCTATATATTTATTTACATTATACGTTTTTTTTTTTTACAATTGAGAAGCAAAGGGGTTCAAGGCAGCAGTAAAGATCAAGAATTACTGACCTAGATGATGATTTAAAAGTGCATCATCGCCCCCCATTGGTTTACTGATATCGGTAAGGGGAAGGGCATTCCAGATGGCCGCAGAAGCAGTACAGCATCTGAAAGCGATGTACTGACCGTTCCTTTATTCTGTTGGCCCTGCAAAATTCCACTGTTGCTGCTTCTCGTGCTGCTATCACTTCTGCTGTTTGCTGCTGCTGCTGCGTGACGACGATGGTTTATAGCGCCTCGCCGACAAGAACTTGGTCTCCTCACTATTTGATGCCTAAGTTGGTGGCCTTGAGGCTGTACTCTGTCAAAACGTTCGGGGCTAATCTTATCACCGCTGTGCTGAATGATACGCATGCACGTTTGTGTCCAGACTTTGACTCTTGCGATGGCAGATTGTTTTTTTTCCACTGTCTGCATCGTGAAATCTCGGTTTGAGCTAAGACATTTTCGATATTATTGAATGCCAACCACGGGCTGGAGAGGAGATGGAATGATGAGGTACGGGAGGATGTGGAGCTGAGTGGACTTGCCGATGACCGGTACCAGCGGTGTCAAGATCGGCCTCTGTGGAGGAGGCTCGTGAAGGACGCTACTGGGCAGTTGGAGGCAGTCGCCCTCCAACAACAACGGAGGGCGGAGGAGCGACGCTCACAACAACGAGCGGAGCGCCGGGTGGCTAAAACACAGCAGGTTGGCACAGTAGGGGGCACAGGTGGTGACGCATCAGCCACTCATCTAAGTCAGTCGACCCGTGGTACCTGCTGGGTCTGTCCCGTGACCTCCTCCTGCACCTAGCCTGGCACAGCAGTCAACCCATGACACCTGGGTCTGTCCCGTGACCTCCACCTGCACCTAGCCTGGCACAACCCATGGCGCTTGGGTTCCGTCCCATGACCCACCAGCAGAGAGTGCCTTTGACACTTCTTCACTTGGCCTCAAAGTGCACCGAGCCTGGCACAGACGCCGTGGTGACGTCACGGCCAAATAGTTGTGAATGGCGGTTATTGTGGTTTTGTGTATCTGTGTGTGTATAAATCTCTGTGCATCTTTGTGTGTATCTCTATATCTCTGTGTGTATCTCCGTGTGTATCTATATCTCTGTGTGTATCTCTGTGTATCTTTATATCTCTGTGTGTATCTCTGTGTATCTCTATATCTCTGTGTGTATCTCTGTGTGTATCTCCGTGTGTATCTCTATGTATATCTCTGTGTGTATCTATATCTCTGTGTGTATCTCTGTGTGTATCTCTGTGTGTATCTATATCTCCGTGTGTATCTCTGTGTGTATCTCTGTGTGTATCTCTGTGTATCTCTATATCTCTGTGTGTATCTCTGTGTATCTCTATATCTCTATATCTCTGTGTGTATCTCTGTGTATCTCTATATCTCTGTGTGTATCTCTGTGTATCTCTATATCTCTGTGTGTATCTCTGTGTGTATCTCTGTGTGTATCTCCGTGTGTATCTCTATCTCTGTGTATATCTCTGCGTGTATTTCTGTGTGTATCTTTGTGTGTATCTCTGTGTGTATCTCTGTGTGTATCTCCTCTGTGTGTGTATCTCTGTGTATCTCTATATCTCTGTGTGTATCTGTGTGTATCTCCGTGTGTATCTTTATCTCTGTGTATATCTCTGTGTGTATCTCTGTGCATCTTTGTGTGTATCTCTGTGTATCTGTGTGTATGTCTCTGTGTGTATCTCTGTGTATCTGTGTGTATATCTCTGTGTGTATCTCCGTGTGTATCTCTATCTCTGTGTATATCTCTGAGTGTATTTCTGTGTGTATCTTTGTGTGTATCTCTGTGGGTATCTCTGTGGGTATCTCCTCTGTGTGTATCTCTGTGGGTATCTCTGTGTATCTCTATATCTCTGTGTGTATCTCTGTGTGTATCTCTGTGTGTATCTCTATCTCTGTGTGTATCTCTGTGTGCATCTCTGTGTGTATCTCTGTGTGTATCTCCGTGTGTATCTCTATCTCTGTGTATATCTCTGCGTGTATTTCTGTGTGTATCTTTGTGTGTATCTCTGTGGGTATCTCCTCTGTGTGTATCTCTATGTGTATCTCTGTGTGTATCTCTGTGTGTGTCTCTGTGTGTATCTCTGTGTGTGTCTCTGTGTATATCTCTGTATCTCTAGCTCTGTGTATATCTCTGGGTGTGTCTCTGTGTGTATCTCTGTGTGTGTCTCTGTGTATATCTCTGTGTGTATCTCTAGCTCTGTGTATATCTCTGTGTGTGTCTCTGTGTGTATCTCTGTGTGTATCTCTGTGTATCTGCTCTCTGTGTGTATCTCTGTGTGTATCTCCTCTCTGTGTGTATCTCTGTGTATCTCCTCTCTGTGTGTATCTCTGTGTGTATCTCCTCTCTGTGTGTATCTCTGTGTGTATCTCTGTGTGTATCTCTTCTTTGTGTGTATCTCTGTGTGTATCTCTGTGTGTATCTCTGTGTGTATCTCTGTGTGTATCTCTGTGTATATCTCTGTGTGTATCTCCTCTCTGTGTCTATCTCTGTGTGTATCTCTGTGTGTGTCTCTGTTTGTATCTCCTCTCTGTGTGTGTCTCTGTGTGTATCTCCTCTCTGTGTGTATCTCTGTGTGTGTCTCTGTGTGTATCTCCTCTCTGTGTGTGTCTCTGTGTGTATCTCCTCTCTGTGTGTGTCTCTGTGTGTATCTCTATGTGTATCTCTGTGTGTATCTCCTCTCTGTGTGTATCTCTGTGTGTATCTCTGTGTGGGGAGCGATAGTGTAGCGGTTAGCGCGCTGCGCTATGAACCTGGCGACCCGGGTTCGATTCCCGCTCACGGCCAACACCAGTGACGATTATCTGAACCGGTACCGGGCCTCCCCTAGGTCGACTCAGCCTCAAATGAGTACCTGGTGCGGTGTGTAAACATTGCCACTAGGGAGACAAAGGCGGTCGGGCGTGGTGCTGGCCACCCACCCCCTCGTGTACCGTTCCGGCCTTCATAGGTGCTCGCTAACAGCACTTGCCCCTACAGTCTGTTAAGGCTATATGGGGGATCTTTGTCTTTGTTATCTCTGTGTGTATCGCCTCTCTGTGTGTATCTCTGTGTGTATCTCTGTGTGTATCTCCTCTTTGTGTATCTTTGTTCCTCAG